ACAGCAACAAACAAAAAACATAGGCCTACCATTAAAAGCCGTGCTTGCACAGGTTCTGCGTGATCCTCTTCAAAAATATGCTCTGTTTCTCAATCGGGCTCAAACTGATAAGCTATATTAAGGACGCTGTTGTTTGCAATCCAACCGGAGCACATGCCGCTGAGGTGAGGGGCGGGACGTTTAGACGCGCACTAGAAGCGGTTTAGCCAATCACAACACACTGGGCTAGCTAACCAATCAGAGCCCATCGCCTATTTCTGAGGGAGGGGCTTCATAAACACATGAAAAGATCAGCCCGTTTCTCAGAGAAGGGACAGAGCGGTGTGTAATAAAGATAAATTATGTGAATTATTTTTTTTTTTTAAACGAAGCATTAACACGTTAGACTGCACCCCATAAACACAATAAAGCCTAGAAAAAAAACAGTGAGCCGCCCCTTTAAAAAAGAATACACACATTACAATAATTTCAAAAATCACATTTTCAAATGGTACTTTATAGAGCATTTCACAATATGCAAAGCTTTGTAATATCCCATGAGATAATATTTTTGTATTAAAAATAGATAAAAGTATTTATTTACATATTTAGCTATTTCAGTGCAGTGTTCATGACTAATTACATTTAAACGATTATGATTTACATTATCAACCAAAATGTTATTTAATATGTTTTTCATGTTTTAGTGTGGTAATGTTTCCAAAATAAGGGAAAAAACACACCAGATACAGGACCATGTCTGAATGTTTTATAATAATATTATAGTTATTAGAGCCCGACCATTATATCGTTTAGCCGGCATTATCAGCCGATATGAGCCTGTCGCCGATATATCGGTATCGGCGAATATGCCGCCGATATGGACATTTTTTTTACAGAACATATACAGGTGCATCTCAATAAATTAGAATGTCGTGGAAAAGTTCATTTATTTCAGTAATTCAACTCAAATTGTGAAACTCGTGTATTAAATAAATTCAATGCACACAGACTGAAGTAGTTTAAGTCTTTGGTTCTTTTAATTGTGATGATTTTGGCTCACAATCGTCACATTACAATGATTCTAATTCTTAGTTTTGCACGATGATATGATGAATGGATGGCTAATTTTTAACAGCAGATTCGGTGACGTTAGAGACTAGAGCTGATCTGCGCATCACGGCACGCGTCTGCGGCGCATTAAAGCCTGTGTTATGGCCACCGGAGCTGATCGTGGCTGGACTGGTGTTTATACCGGCCGAAGTTATCATTGCAAAAAATGTGCTTATGTATATATATTCTGTTTATGTAGGCTATATACTGTATTCTATATACAGTACCAGTCAAAAGTTTGGACACGGATGGGAAGTGTGTCCAAACTTTTGACTATACTGTACTATAATATAGCCTACACACAAAGAATATCGGCCGATATATCGTTATCGGTCTTTTTTCACTCCTAATATCGGTATCGGTATCGGCATCGGCCCCCAAAAAACCCATATCGGTCGGGTTCTAATAGTTATGTTGTTTTTGTCATTTTTAGTGATTTTTGTATTTTTTGTCTGTATAGTTTTTATAATTTTTTATTTCAGTAGTTATTTTAGTACAGCAAATTTAACAAAATGAACATGTTGAAATAAAACTTTTTTTTATTTAATTTTATTTTAAAGTAATGAAAATGTTTTAGTTTGGTTTTAGTTTCAGTTTATCATACCCCTGACACACACACACTTTCAGCATTTCTTCTTTTCTGTCCAGATTGTGAAGGTGCTGAACTTGTATACACCTGTCAACGCGTTTGAAGAGCGTGTGTCAGTACTGTTCATAAGAACAATACAGGTATGTTTCATAACTCAACCTTATAATAGTTCTTGTGCTTTTTAAGTCAATCTACTGCATGTTTGTCTGTGTGTTTCCTCTGCCAGACACGTTTACGGGATCGAAAGGAGTCGCCTCAGCTGCTGATGGACACCAAACTCATCTACCCCGTGACCTTCCCCTTTAACCCCTCCTCCTTGGCACTGGAAACTATTCAGATACCCGGCAGCCTCAATGTGGGCTTCCTCACTCGTGTGTAGACCTGTCAATCACCTCACCTCAACCAATCACACGGCAGGAACAGGGAGCCAAAATATATAAATAAATAAAAAATAACGATTATAGGTAAATAAGCCACACACTTAAAGAGAATGCAATTTAGATCATGTCATCAATCCTTCATTTTGCACTTCTTCATCATTTTTATTTATTCAATAAAAGAGTGAATCTCACGAAACCTGTCAAGTATGTGTTCAGATCACAATTGACCCCATAATCAAAATAAACTATTTTGCTTGAAGAAAATTAAGCTCATTAAGACAATTAATATTTTGACATTGTGATGCTATTTTAATTACATTTAAGCACTTCCTCCCAAAATTCTGATTACTGAAATGCAAAAAGAAAGAAAAAAACTCATTTTAACTCAATATATTATTGACATTGTACAGTGTTTGCTAACATTATTCCAAATAATTGGAATTCACTTGATTGCAGTAATTAATTAATCATTAATACAGTGATTTTTTATGAATAAAAAATAAGGTATTATTAATGAAAATCAACATTGAGAATAATGTCAATAAAAGAAATGCTCAAAACACAAATCCACAGCAGCACAATACAAAATAATAATAATAACCCAGTACTGACCTGGATATTTTTGTGAGATTCACCTTTTAAACTAATATTTCAGAGATGTTTCACTTAATGAACGTTACGAAAGGAAGAATCAAGGTCAAAATAACTCATTCTAACACTAATGCCTTTTCATATCACAACCAGAATAAGTTCAGGGGGCTGTATAATCTTATACATTTATAAATATCTATGAATATGTATGATGCTAGGATATTTTATTTATTGCTTTACCCTACCAGATATTTTTTTTTCTCTCAGATGCTAGCTAACATGGATATCCAGTTGCGGAACATACTCTAGTCCTCTGCACTCATCCATATCAGATTAATAACTTAGTCTCAGTAAAAAAGGTCAGCTGACTTCATTAACGTAGGTGTTTATTTGTTAGTAGCGTGTGGTGATGTTGATTAGCTAGTAAATAGTCATGTCTGGTGTAACTCTGCCAGAAAGAAAACTTTGCATCCATGCACTGTCCCAGAGCTTATTTCTTCCTCAAGAGCTTCCTCAAGTTTACATCTCTGATCTTCAGGAATCATTTCCAAAGAGATGGTACAGTCCAGACCCAGTGCATGATGGGATTGTTTGGGTTTTCATCATACGAACATATCAAGAGCATGAGGTCCGTGTTCCACAGGTTTCAGCAGAGCTAGAGCTAGTTCAGGTGAGATCTAGACTCCTAAATGAGGTTTAATGACGTTTCAGATGGTTTGGGCCCTCCACCGTTCTACTGTTGGATGAATCTCATGAAGAAATGTCCTAGTGAAATATGAAATGAAATTCAACTGAAAACAGTTTTTGCACAAATAATATTAAGCCTATTTTATGGAGATTATGATTGCATTGTTGCATTATTTTCAGGATAATTAAGCATGTTTTAATCCCAAATTCTCACTATTGTAATGCAGTGATCCTTACTTGTGTACTTTACAATTTAAATAACATGATTTATTATTGGTTGTATTACAGTAATGAGAATTGATGGAGAAATGGGCTTATTTGTGCAAATGGGAAAAAAAAAAAAAAAGGGCAAATTGTGCAAATGGGCAAAAGACAAATAAGAAAATAGTTTTTTTTTAGATTCAAATAGTGTTGTATGCCCAAAAGCACACTGGGTATCCCAAACAGAGCTAAAAGAAACCCCAAACTACTGACTCTCTCAACACATGAAGATGTTTATCAAAAACTTTTGTTATTTATTTCAGTATTATATGTTTTAAAAGGTTAGAAACGGCTGTTGATTTTATGGCATGTGCTGTTGGATGAGTTCATATATATGGACACATTTCTTTTTGTCACTTGTTTTGTTTTGCTGTTTGTCTTTTGTGTTCACATCTGGCTGGATATCAGTATTATCTTGAATGTGTCAGGCAGCTTTTATTGGAAAGCTGTTTGTTTTGATCTGTAACTCCTGAAATTAAAGCAGTCACCTTAGTGCAGCCATGCATTCCATCACACACACATAGACATTCACACACCCTATTATTATATATTATATTATATTTTTTAAGTTTTAGGGTCAGATGATGCATGTTGATACTTTGTTTCCTCTGTCTACTGCATGGGTTTCATCTTTAAAATCGTCCACACTAGTTCAGTGTGTTATTGGCCATTAACACACAGCTTTGGCTCTAAATAGAGAATCTTTTTCCATTTCATTGTATTGCACTGGAATTTTAACATGCCTTACTGTAGTTATAGTCTATCCTGTATCACACAGAGCTTCTGTATCATTCTATCAGTCTCAACTGCTTTCTGATGGAGATCAATCTTTGTTATGCATATGTCACAAGAAAAGTGTGTGTGTGTGTTTGTGTGTGTGTGTGTGTGTGTACACATGACAGTGCATAGACCATTTTTCTAATCAATTTTTGTATTGTTTTCCAGTGAGTTTTTTTTTTTTTTTGCATATCTTGAATTACATTTATTTTTCATACCTCATTGGTGATTTTTTTCCATATTTTAAGCATTAGCAAAAATGTAGTTGAAAACCGAAAACACCTAATGGGGTAAGTGGGAAAAAGTTAATTCAAAATATTCTTTGAAAATGTCTTATTTTCCTTCTCAGTTAAATGGATTTTGTTTACATCATTTTAGAGTTTTTTGTCATATGGATATTTTTACTGGAAAGCAAGACAAAAATAGCGATCAGCTTTTTTTTCTTTTTTTTTTTTTGCTGCAGTGTATTAATATTCAGTTCAGATGAGCACGGCTGAAATCAAGTTCAGCATTCAACATCTCAATTCTCATCAGTGTACGGAATCATTCAGGAGTTTTATGATCATGGGACCATTGTGTGTGTGAACTTTGCTTTTTTATTGTTTTAGTTCAGTTCTTACGGAATTCAAATAAAAATGGTTGGAAGATTTACAAATGCAATTTGATAAAAATGCATATCACTTCAAATGGAAAATAATGAAGTTGTACTGGAATACAAATGAAAATGTAAAAAAAAAAAATCATTGAATGTTGACATGTTTGTACATGGTTTTATTTACAGTACATTGTCATGTTTTAGATAAAGCCTTACCTCTGAATGGACGGCATGTCAATGTAACACATTTGTTTCTCTGTGGTGTTTCATATTCTGTTAATTTGCTGTATTGACATTTGTGAAGTATAAACCTATAATATTCCTGTTGAAATGGGTATAGATTTCCAAATGCCTCTTAAAAAATTGATTTGCACATTAAAAAAAAAATGTCAAGACTTGTCGCACCGATCCTACAGCCCTGTTTTAGTCTTTAGTCTCAGCCCTAGGTTCTGAAGTGGTTTGTAAAAAATGACTTTCACATTACATCAGCTAGTGCACAGTCTGATGCTCACTGTATCAAGATCAGCCTGCTCTCATGCTTGTATAAAGAGCTTATGCAGACATTGATAGTTGCTGTAGTAATGCAGATCAGTTGAACATCTCATATGTTTGCTTCTCCTTCAGCGTGTTCAGACAGCATTGGGCTAGTTAGGGTCTTGGGGGGTCGGGGGCGTCTGTTACTGAAGGACCAGAGAGTTTGTAGTTCCTGTAGCTGTAATTATTTCATGTGATCATCAATGCAATTTCATGGAGTGACATACTAATGTCAAAAGCTGTTCAAGTCAAATAAATGAATTCAGCACTATGTGAATGTTTTTTTTTTAAATTGCATTACAATACCATTTAACATATTACTGTAAAATGGCAAACCTGGATACTTTTGGATGATAACAAGGAAGGACGTGGAAAGAATGTTCGGCAACACTTTATTATAGGGACCAATTCTCTCTATTAACTAGTTGCTTATTAGCATGCCTATTATTAACATATTGTCTGTTTATTAATACTTATAACGCACATATTCTGCATGACTAAATTCTACATCCCTAATCCTATCCATTATCTAAATTTAACAACTACTTTACTATTAATAAGCAGCAAAGTTTATTGAGGCAAAAGTTGTAGTTGATGGTTTGCTAAATAGCGAGAATTGGACCTTAAAATAAAGTGACAGAATGTTCATGTATCGGTCAGCACACCTATCATTCACTTATTCTTTCATATTACGATTTTTCAAACACTTAAAAATATAGAAAAAGTTACAAGACATACTTCTGTAAGTCTGAGTTAGAATAGTTTAAGGTTCTATTCTCACTATTAACTACAACTTTTGCATCAAACTCCTAAATTGCTACTTATTAATAATTAGTTGTTGAGTTTAGGTATTTGGTAGAATTAAGGGATCTAGAATAAGGCCATGCAGAATAACACATTAATATGTGCTTTATAAGCACTAATAAACAGTAAATATTCTGGTAATATGCATGCTATTATTATTATGAGAATTGGTCCTTAAAATAAAGCGTTACTGAATAGTTTGCAAGACTGTGATTAAGCCATGGTTAAGATATGAAACCTTTGCAGCACTCTATTAGACTTGGCTATTTCTAATACAGATCTGGGGAAGGCTACCAAAAAGTGTGATCATCATAATTCTTAAATGAAGAGGTTTGGAGCAAACAGGACTCTTTCTAGAGCTGGCTGCTCTATCAAACTGAGATATTGAGAGGACAGCTGTGGTAAGAGGTGACCAAAAACCTGATGGTCACTAGTGAGCTCCAGAGATCATATGTGGAGATAGGAAAGACTTGCAAAAGGACAACCATCACTGCAAAACCATCAACTGCAGTCAGTGATGATCCAATCCATTTTCTATGGACAAAATCAAGTCCTGCCCTATATTTTTTCTTCATAGAAAAGTATTTTCACTCAGATATACTTCTCAACACAGAAGAAAATACAATAGCAACTTATGTTTCATGCTGACATTAATCTTCCTATGTGCTAAACCAAACTAAAAACTTGCCGTTTCCTAATCATTTTCAAATCACATAAGTATTGTCAAACTTGGTGAACCTCCAGGTCAGAAACTTTCTGTGGCATATCAATATCACATGCTGGATGTCAGTGATTAACTTTGAGATACAAGGTAAGTGTGGCTGTTAGCGATAAATGGCTTGTGGTTGATAAAGCAGGGAAATGAATGATATGACTGATATGATCATCTGGAAGTGACACACTTTTTCCCTACTTCACTTATTTCTGTAAGTGAAAAAACACACATGAAGGCTAAATTCCAATAAAACATCTTACTTTCTGGCCAGTCATCAAGCTCATCATTAACCAGCACTAGTTTGGGTAAAATTTTGTATTGAATAGTCTACCATTTACTCACCTGTTATTCATAGACATTCATAAAAAAAAGGAAAGTTTCAGAATTTCAGAAGCATACTTGTTACAGTGATTTTAAGACGTTCAGCAGTGTTTGTATGTTTTCATATTACCATTTTCATTTAATATTACTTTTGGTGTAGTATAGCAATTTTCAATCAAATATGTATAACAGTCAAAACAATTGCGAAACATTAATTAAAAATCACAGTTGATCTATAAATACAAAAATATTAAAGGGGTCATAGGATGCCCATTGATAAGTTGATATGATTCTTTAGGGTCTTAATGAAAAGTCTGTAACATACTGTGGAAGTCAATGGGGACCAGCAACTGTTTGGTTACCATGATATTCAAAATATCTTCTTTTATGTTCAACACAAGAAAAAAATTCATACAGGTTTGGAAATTGAAGGTGAGTAAATGATGAGAGAATTTACTTTTTTTTTTTTTTTTGCTGAAATATCCCTTCAAAGTGCCCTCACATGGAAAACATTACCAGTATGTAGTGTTGTCACGGTACCAAAATTTCAGTATTCGGTACCAATACCAGTGAAAATCTTCCTGGGCTGAACCCAGCAGAGCACTGGCCACTGGATCAGATGATGTTAAAGAGAGAACATCATCCTCCAGCAGCTGTGTCTCGC